CAAACTCAATCGCTCAAACTGCAAGATTTAGAAATTCACAAATCGCCACCAAAACGACTGGAAAAAGTTCAGTCGAGAGGCTAGACTATCACCCACCGCGTATTACCAAGGCTCTGGAACGTGTAGAAATATTAAAAATTGAGCGCAACAGGGTTCTTAAAAAAACAGTCTTATTCCCACTCCTATGTTTAATCTTCCTTAATGACTTGTTAGATAAAATTAACTCGGTGTCACTGACCTATGTAGATTATTTAAAGATCTGTAGATCCTTTTAAAGCGAGAAGGATGTGGCACATAAACTTTTGGCCATACAAGTCTTCGCAAGATGACGAACAGGTAAGTGCTGCTCATGTGATTATCAGAGAGAGTACAGGTTATAACCGAAAGAGTGTAACTTCCAATTCACGTCTGTGATAATTGTATGAACCTTTGTCAGTGTTGGAGTTAATTCGACAAGAATGTCTCGGTATTCAAGGGATTTGCTGGACTATTTTTACCGATGATTTGCTTGAATGTTTGTGTCATTAAACTTCTAATAGACTGATAGGGTCCGAAGATGTTTACTAAATAAGCAATCGACAAAAAAGCATACCGAAATAATCGACAATAGATAAAGATAACTATGAGAAAACACTACTCACTGATAACTAAAAGTCAGTTTGGCAGCCGAGTTTGTGTTGATAGTTTCGTCAGTTTTGTCAATCATATTTCGTGATTATCAAGTCATGATAATGTTTATGACGATATCTAGAAACCATTTTGAATAACTAATGAAAGTGTTGATTGATAATTAGCTATGGGGGAATGTGTATCGCTGTGTTACATGATTAGGAAATATCAGGAGTTTTTAGCATTAATGGATCCGAGCTGCCTGATCGTATTTCAAATTACGGTCCAGAAATACTTGAATACTTAGAGTTAATTTTAGCAGTAGGCTCTATAGTTTTTATTTTGAATATTTACGTGATATTTTAGTTATTTTACCAATGCAGTACGATGCTATCCTATTGCGGTGAATTTATTGTGTTAACTATGTTAAACGTCTCTTTGGGCGACTGTGATAGTTTAGTCCTTAAACCCAAATATTCATAACAATAACGACTATCAAGAATTTGGTGGAAGATGTTGAAGGCGATCCAAATAAGTGTTAAACCGAGATGGCATAAAGATAATATAATACAGCCCATGTAAATGTCAGCTCAATATCTATTCTGATGAGACATATAACAACAAAAAACTTGACAGAAAATATTCCAAAGTTGAGACATGATTTATGGAACCACAGTTCGAAACATGGTAGGTATCGTGTAAAAGTTTGATAAGTGGTTGCTGTAGTTAGCGTAGTAACATTCATGAACATGTAATGATAATCAGAATTTAGAAGTGTCGGATTTTTTCGAAGCTGATGTTGCTCTTCTGTAAACAATACACTTTCTCGTAAGAGTATGATGTCATTTGTAGCTATTATTTATAACGTAAGCGAAAAACGATTTTTGAAGTGGTTCGTATGAAATATATGTACTTAATCGAAGTAAAAAATATAAACACGCAAACATGTATTAAAAACATGGCGAACGATTCAGCAAAATAATAACATTCGCCTGGATTATTCTCGGGATTCAAGCTATCCAAAACATTTAAAGTATAAAAGACCAGCCATGAAAAGTGGTAATGATCCAATATGAACGAGACTAGACATGCAATATTGTAACAATCTCATGGGTTTGCTAAACGCTGCTGACTTTGTCACTTGTTTGATTTAGTAAAAATCCAAAGAGCCCAGGTAAATACATAGCTTTCACCAGACGAACGACCTGAAATGTGCTTAATATTGCGGAAACTTTGTGGCTATAGCTTACTAAAACTTCTGGAAGACTGTCCCTGTTGTTCAGCGATGGAACTGGAAAAGTGGAAATTAGGCAGGTAGTGGTTGGTTGAAAGGATATTAAAAGACGGTTCATAGTTTAAAATAAAGTAACGTGTTGAGTGAAGAAACAAGATGGAGAATTAGATCGGAATAACCGTCCAATCTTTGCTTACGTTAATTGCCAGCTTATGTATATTTACGTCAATTGGGAGCCATATTTATTAGTGGTTGATGTTTTCACAAACCTGTTTCACTGAATCATGTAAATGCTACTAAAGCTTGTCAATGAACCATCGTCGATAAACATAGATGCAGACGATCAGCTCTTAACATTAGGTTATGACCATTATTCACTATTGCAATACGTTAGTACGCATGAGCATTAAACAATAGACATGGGTAGGAGGGATAAAAAATCAGTCCATAAATTCAAAATGAATGTGTGTTCGTTTAGTCGGTCTCACCAATGTAATGTTTTGGTATGTTTTGGTATTGGTACATTTATCTTCGGTACCATAATAATAGACCTAATCCCACAATGGTAGATTTGTCATATTGTCCTACGTGAAAATCACATCATCGCCTATGCTTACTCGTCCCATCGTGAAATCAGCAACGCGATGTTTAGTACTTTTGAAGAAGATATTTCGGTTGACGAGAAAATAACATTTAATATGGGAAGGCACGAATTACACTAAATGATCATGCCTGTAAGGCTGAGCCATGCCATACTGATCAATTGTCCCCACGTTCACCAATTTTGACCCTCTCCACATGTTGCGTGTTGAATGTGAATTTTTACAATAATTATATGCTCGGCCTCGAAGATTGTGCGTTTAGGAACCAAAGCTACCACAAGGACTCACCTGGGTTATAAAAGGACCTTACAATATTAGAGGAATAGTCTGTAGATAATTGGTTAAAACTTAACCTATCGCAATGTCGCATCATGAAGATCGTGCCTCATACAACACAACGCACCGACACCATACATGACAATCCGCTCCTAACTTTCTTCCCAGAGCATGATTTCACGTTTTTAACCACGGCAAGCATAGACACTGGCACAAAGTACTTGAGAGATGCAACCAAAAAGGGCCCAACTCTCTGCGCCATCCAAATATGATACGGCGAAATCACCCAGAATTGTTCTTAAAACTCTTTAATACATACTAGTGGAACCAATTGAAGTTCACAATGTCGTTGCGCCTGATCTGCTTAGAAGAGGCACAAATCTCATGGACTAAGTACAAAGACAGACAACCAAGTGAGTGATAGATCTAAGACATAAATCTCAGGAGCTACAGGATTGCAAGAGGTGAGCTGATAGTGACACTTAACATACTAGGTAAGCCAAACCACTGCAACACGAGCATATTACCAAAACATCATAACCACTCTTCTCGAGGCAACACTCGAAAAACTGCATATCAAATGGCGAACACTCATGTAGATTCTCAAGTTTTCTAGCTAAAAGTTCCCTGCCATTTGGCACGCTCTCCTAGACAAAGTGACTATATTCCCCCAGTGGATCGCTTCAAGAGGAGACTTGACAAGCACTTCCTCACTCAAGGATTACCATCTCCCTCTTGAACCAGCTGTACCACAAGTCGGCAACCAATTACTATTTCTATTATTATTGGCTTCATTTCCCCCATTATGTTTCCAGTCCGTATTCTTAGACATAACTGAATAATAAACTGCCTTTCTTGAAACAAGCATCTTATCTTAACACTGGAATTGTAATTTTATTATTTTCGTACTGCCACTAACATGCCTTCTGCCTAGTAATGTGATAGATGTTGGCATGCAGAATTCATACTATCCTGAGACGAACGCACTTAAACCACAATATATGCAAATCCACGAATCATTACCAAAACGACTTAAATAAGTGAAGTAAAGTGGCTAAACTATCACTTATTGGACATAATCAAATTCCTGGAATCTGTGGTTGATCCAAGCAAAGGAGCTTATTCAAGATATAACTATACGCTCAGTTACTAATGATATGCCAGAAAAGGTCAACACTACAAACCGAAGCATCTGTTTCTAAGTAAAACGGTATATTAAATAACAAAGTGATAACAATTCTTATAGAATGTTACTTGTAAGCTCCTTCTGAAGTAACCACCACGAATGATTTCACTTGATTGATGAAGGCTTCACTAAACGTGGTGGCACCAACAGAGTGATGAACTTGATCAAATACGGTAGTAATGTTCAATATTAATCCGAGCCAGAACTATGGCGTAGTGTAGAATGACCTAAAAGGATGGTATGAAATTATCATAATCTTCAGTCATAGGCCATGGGCAAGGGAGTAGAATAATAGACGACAGACATAGCGCTTATTTAAATTACAGCTGTAGAGTGTACATATTAGCATTGACAAACAATTATACCCGTTTATTACCACCGATACAGAGGAACAACAGATGACGAATATCAATGCCGTGACATGCAAAGTATCACAAACGGAGAACGAAACTGGTCTTTATTTTGTCGTTACAAAAATCATTGAATATACATGTTACCATAAACCGTAGTGAAACAGCAAAAAGTGAGCTCAAAGAAACCAATCTGTTTGTATAAGCTTGTGACAAAGCTTTGTGATACAGTATAACTACCACAGTGCTCTCTATTCTATCTCTAAAACACATACTTAAACCAAACAACTTACCTGTAATAGCACCTGTTTCTATTAATCCCGATGTAATACAGCAGATGCATTCATTTATATTCAAAGGGGACTAGCTTTCGAATAAATGTTATGCGCCCCAGTGTTAGTGAATTTGACCGTTGAGGCTACTCATATCTGACGATATCAAAGACCGAGTACCGTATGCTAGCTCCATAGCGTGAGCGTAAATGAATCACGCTAACTTGTAACAGAGTTATTAACCATTCGAATTGCTCTGAAAGCAAAATTTGATCAGATAAGCAAGTTACATGTTGAAGAATAAACTTTTTGTCTTATTTTATTAAAAATAAGTAAAAATATCTGTGTTTTAAAGTGCTTGTTGTTCTGTAGTAAACAACACGAAAAATCAAAATCGCGTAACTTTGATTGTATTGACCTACAGGCATGTCTAGACGGTTTCAGTCAATAATTATTAGATATGTGATTTAGATGAGTAATCTAGAGGCTAGCCGGATTTTGGCGTCAGCTCTTAAAGATGTTGATGAGATTCTGAAAGGTAAAAGTCTCAAGAACTTTATTTATACACTCATATAGTGAATAAATATGAAACAGATGATTATGACGCTGAGATCAGTAATGACAATCGAGATATATTACCGAAAATCTCAATTCAGAATACCGAAGGAAAGTCTCATAATGAAACTCTGAACGACAGCAGAAACGTATTTGATGAGGCATATCTTTACAGGGCTGGGAAAGACTTTTCCGTTCTAATTAATAGACTTCAAATATGCATCAATAAACTGAATCAGTCAAAACCCGCACCTTCAATCCACGCATCAGAATATCAAGCTCTAAATTTTGGAATCACTGAGAACAGTTCATTTGATATTGCTCATGTATGTTTCTACAACTTACCATTATAATTACTATTCGTCTATGAATTTTCGTTTATTCACTCCTAATTTTCATTTGTAAAAGGATAGCTCCTTGTGGTCCTAATTATGCGTATATGAAGCTAGCTTGTAGATTTTCTAAACAATGTACGAAATCTGTCTGAAATTAATTCATACGGATAACATACAGTTGGACTTCGGTAATGTCTTAAAATTTAGGTTTCTATATTTTCATCTTGGACTCAAAATAAATAAGAAAATATTTGCAAACGAAATCAACTAGTATTTCGTGGTACCTGTTTTGTTTGTGTTCAGATGAATAGATTTGACCGTAGTATGTATAAATACAAACTCGCCAGACAATTATAATAAGGCATGTGACGACCTTAAGGGAGAGATTCGAAAATTCATACAACATGATGTCCATAAAAAACCTGGAAACACTGAGGGGCGGTCTGATGTTTCTCAGTTCATGGTCTCAATTAAAATTCAACAATCTTCCCAACACTATGCCGATAATTCATAAAATTATAGGGAACTAGGGCTGATTGTAGGCGTCCGACTTTTGATCATTGGCACAAATTCAGTTCCTGTTTTGCAAACTTGCAAGTGTAAATAGAACACTTCATAATTGCTGTTAGAAGTGCTTTGATCTCTTTAGAGCTGTATTTAATGTTAGCTGTTTGTTTGAATGTATAACCGTTGTTCTAGTTTACCATACATTTTTTAGATGGACGTCTAAAATCGGTTGCATTTCCATATGTCATTTCGTTTAAAACTATAGAACATAGTTGTATCATAGAATGTTGAATTCAATGTCTACGAAATAAATTTATTAGTATATTTATTAATTCCTTCAAACTCATTAGGTGAACTGCAATAGCCAGTCTGTGTTTGTAATATGAGTTTCACGTAAACATTTCTTAATAGTACTGAAGATTACATGTCCATGATGAGTCTTACTGACTAACAGAACTGTGTGATTTATATATTGTTATTCTCAGCATTTCAGTTTTGCATATTAGGGATCAAAATCATTACACAAACTGTGAAGTACTACTGTAAAAAAATAAGCCTACATGGTTCAGTATTCCATACAGGGGTAAATTAAGATGAAAATGCCGACTCTTGTTGTTAATCAAAATTTGGTGGAAAAGTCAAATTTTAATCTTAAAGGGATGAAAATATGCTAACGATTATTGCGGATCATAGTGAAGATGTGAAACATGTTAAATGACTGCCTAATGTGAAAGTTAACCTTTATATATATTGATCTTATCACTTCAAAAGATGAAAACATAGTAAATAGTTGCACGTGCCTATAACCGAACTAGTATACTTATTTTATGTGAAAAAACTTAATTTATAAACATGAAAATGTTGCATTTGAGCTGCTATTGTATAATTTTGATTTTTCATTTACTCTGTATCTCAGAACTTCTGAAAACATTCACCATTCGACTTTGATCTACTAGCTTTACATGTACGTAGACAACAAGTACTTTCACTTCATTTTCGAATATCCCTCAGGTTTAATTTCGTCGACTGAAAATTCATTTAAATAGGCCCTTCAAAATTTTGGCTAGAATTAACCCGCATTTTTATAAAATCTACAAATTAAGGATTCTGACTTAGTACTTACTGATAAGCTTAACTTTAAGGTCAAATGAAATTGCGATAAAATCTCTGTAAAATGTATGGTTATTTGTTACTATGTAGAAAATGAGAGGGTTCTTAAACTGAATAAACAAGATTCTAAAACTTTATTATGAAATAAGTTTTTGTTCTGCAATATACGCTTGTATATACAAGATATTAAAAAACATAAATGCATCATGTTATGAACTTGGAGACAACACAGCCGTGCTTTTACTATTACGTTTGAGAATATATGAATTAAATATAACTCCTCGACTTATTTGAACAACTCGCGTCAAACTAATTTTTGATGGTAAGCTCAATGAATTAATGTAGGCTTTTCTCAGGTTAAAGCTATTATAAAGAAATATATCATTATAGACTGTAGTCCTGAAAATTGAGAATTCAAGTCCCTTGTAAACATTTCCTTTTAAAAAGATTCATGAAGATTTTACAACCAGTGTTACATGTAGATTTCTGTCCCACCCAGAGTTTTTTGCCCAGTTGGACATTTATGGACGTCGTTGCACGAAAGTCGAACACAAAAAGTAAAGTGTTATGAATATGAAAGAGAAGGTAGGGTGCTCATGTTTTGTGAATACGAATTTAGGTTACTGTAGAATTAACCACTGACTAAAATTTGCGGTCTTGTTTGGATTTTTAGACAAATGTTTGATTCAATTGACTTCACAGATATAGATAAGCCTATAGCTGTAGCCGAATAGATTGTTTGATCCTTGGCTTTTAAGCTAAAATTTTGGATATGGTTTACAGCTTCTAAGTGCTACATAGTAAAAACTAATAAATCACTGTCCATTAGCCATAATTGTTAGAAAAACAGCATAAATGAACTACCGAGTTTGCTTAGACGCACTCAATTTCAGTGGACGAAATGGTGTACACAATTGTATTCATGGATGTTTGGATATCGTGTTGAAACTTGATATCGCATAGTTTGGTCTAAGATACCCTATTCCTCAGAGCGTTTCATGAATTTATTTTGTGATAATCTCTACAAAATAATGCAGTGAATTCATGTACATTATTTCACTTTTCTCGCTGCTTTATTTCATTGAGTCATAGATAGAATGTATGGACAAAATGTCTAGACTTTTCCACGATGCTCCAAATTACAGAGTTAACTAATAAGTGGCAGACGAAACTACTTAACGTTCTTGAGAGTTGGCTTCACTTAGATAACTACTGAAAACCAAGGAATATTGAAAAACGTCTTTGTCTTTCAGGTTTGAAACTAATCAGCCTCTGTTTCCCTCAACCCAGGAACTGAATCAAGCATCTCCAGGTTTTATAGAGACTACGTTACCTACAAACCACTGAGTTGAAACTAACTGGTCCATATTCCAAAATTTGGTTAGTTTGCAATACTAAACACAATCATATGGTGATACCGAAAATATCTGCTTCCTTCGTTACACACCTGAACTCAACTGTTTGTAGATTCTAACTAGAAGAGTCTTGGACAGAAGTATAGTGTTTCCACATCTTCAGTGATTGTCTAGCCAAAGTCAGTCCCTGATATCAACTATCCTCACCAAACACCATATTCTAACCAGTTCGAAAAGCAAAATAGAATTCCTTTATTTTTTATGATATGTAATAATTCTACTATAAAATGAATTATTACTAGAAATCAGTGAATCGATTGCCGTGTTAAGACAAGTAATGTGAAAAGTAAGAGCTTGGAAATGTGCAACCTTTATTTCTTATGAGAACTACCTCAAATAATTTGTTGTACCGTTATAAATAAATCATAATACTTTAATCGCACTACCTTATACATACATATACTACAGACAGAATTCCGAAGGTAATTCAAGATATCCTTACATAGATCACTGGCCATTTCATTTGGTTAGCGAGGTCTATTAGGTTTTAGTTTTGCTACCAAAGACTCAGCTTTACGATCCAAATAAGGTTATGGTTATACTGAAATGAAATGAAAAAGACTTAGTATATAATTGACTTCCTAATGTAGTGGTGTTTTCGTAAAATATTGTAAAATATGGCATTAATGAGTAAATTTACAAAATAAGTCTTTTAATGTTAAATTATAATCCGATCTCGAAGTATTGTTGTGGTTCATTTTATTAGCTAATTTAGTGAAGAAAACGGTGAGCAATAAAAATCACGCTTCAAGTTAAAAATATAATCTCTAGCCTTCAGTACATATGATATCAAACATATCACTATTAATTTATCCGAAATAATATAGATTTTTGTGTATGACGAACACAGTTTTACAACATGGATCAATTTCGACTTGATAATCAATAAAAACTAAGACGCTCTGGATAGTTGTTTCCTTCTAATATTTGTCTCCTCTGTCATTATTGGTAGCATTTGTTTCACACTTGACATAATTGATCATTAGACTGAATCATATTGATAGATGTAAGCCAGCTTGTTGAGGCTTAAATAAATATCGTGACTAATGGTCTTAGACGTTGATTGATATGTCTCATAATCGATCTTGGCATTATAGATACATTCAATCATTGTGTTCCCTTAGACATTAAGTTCCAAAATTACTGTACGATGTTTGTTGTACAAGTTCATTCAGCTTGATGCTTTTTCTTACTATCAATGGAATTATAATTACTTGTACTATGATATTCTTCATCTTTCTCTGTTGATGTTTTATGGAGAATAGGACCAGTGTGCATATTTGCATGGTTCTCATGTTGCTTTCTTCTGACTTAAGATTTGTACTCTACCACCTCTTACGACATCCAATGTAAACTTGTTATTCCCACACTGTTGCATAGTGTTATTGTTTTCAAATAATGTGAAAACTTAAGCGGATCTCAAACTATATTGTAATAATAATAATAATTATTATTATTACCGCAGTGTTTTTTCAAATTCATTTTAGCCCGCAACCACACAACCTACTAAATTCAACTTGAATTTAAGTGAACAATCTAAACAAATGCAGTCTCAATACGTGTTTCCCCCGTATGAATTTAGTACATGCCTCAACGATAAACGCTTTCATCAACGAATCACTAAATTACGAGGACAAATACAAGCACAAGCTAATCGTATTGCAGAATTAGAGAAAGATGGAAATCCAGTAAGCTATGTGTCATTTTATTTACCATTGATGTTTTCATTATGATTTTTTTAACGATGAGGAAAAGTTGTAACAACGTTTTATTATCTAGGCTGATTGAGGTCCGCAGATTATCGTAATAAATATTCACAGACTTTGAGTGACATGGCTAGAGATCATTAGCATATACGTTCACTCCTTGTCCTCAGATTATCCTATGAATTCTTTTAATTTCACTAATTAATATTCTCTTCTCGAATCGTATCTTTGATGCCTAATATTTTCTACTACCACTAATACTGTTAGTACTACGAACATTCTGGGACTTGCCTTGACCATTTCGTATCACTCTACTAATGGGGCATGGTGACTTGAACCGATGTACATATGTCTCAGGTTCTACATTATGTATGAATGACTCACATTCAGAAAATGTCGTAATTGTTAACGAAATTACGAGAGAAAATTTAAAATCAAGACATGTCATAAAAGTTCTATCACGCTGTTATAAATGCTAGAGAAAAGTTTATATGTTTTTCATTATTTACGTGTTTCAGTAGACAGAAATGTATGAATTTTTTAAAAATTTATTTTACTCTACATCTATCACACAGAAGTGGAGTTGTTTGAAGAAAAAATACCGATTAGACAAAGTGTAAATTTAAATCTATGTATGTATGATGTACTTTTTTCAACTGCATACATTGGTTGGAATAGAGATCGATATCGTGTTTATTTGGCCCTGTAAGTGCTGGTCGAATGTTATTAATCAAATTGTAATGTGGTCACCAGTTTGGCTGACTTAGCGTTGCGTGAACTGTGTTTATATGTTCAGTGTCTGTAGATAGTGGACAGGAAACCTCGAACCTAGAGGTTTATGACATTTCGGACTCGTCAGTAATTCCTACATGTAATCTTGCAAAATAACCAATCAAAATGGATCAGTGCTTAAAGAGCCAGATTGGCACGACACTAGTCTGTGCTTCGTGATCAGTCAATTGTAAATATCTCAATCGCTACCCGATTAACTCAGTCGTAACGTCTCAGACCTTAGAACAGGTTTACTTGAGTTCAAACTCGTCGGGGAATATTACTTCCCTGAAAATATCATGTACACCTTACTAACGAGTTCCAACTAGATTGAAACCCAAGTCATGTAGGATTTCCTATTAACTTCGTCCAATCATGTAGAATATACAAGCATTCCGTTTTTAAGTGATCAGACCTTTAGCTTATGATAAAGTTGATCTTGAAATATTAATTACAGATTTAACGGAACCAAATTTAATCCAAAAATCTCTCTCTAGAAATATGTGGTAAAAGCATTTCACCAAATGTTTATTTTTAAAAATTTTTATTTTTCTCTTCATCGTTTTGAGAGGGAGAAAAAAAGAAACTGTTTTCATGTTGACCGTTTTCTTTCAGTGAATATTTCAAATTGATTTACTAAAAGAAAATTTTGATGAAACCATTTATTAACCGGTGTGTTTATGTAGATGTTTTGTGTAGTTAGTGGATAGTCCCAATGATTACTTATTGTTTACATATAAGTGTCATATTTTTTCTTTCTAAAATTCGATTAAAATTTTAATCTTTCCAAAAATAAATACATCAATTTCTTTCTATATTCAATCTTTACACATATTCTCCGAATAAATTAGTCAATTTAATTCCACTTTAATCTTGGTAATTTCTTCTATTATCCTGATGATTTAATCGAGTATCATTATTGTTATTACTACTATAGAGATGATAATTTGAATAAATGAAGAATTAAATGACTTATTTATCTGTTCAGATATAATTGTAAAGTATTGTCTAAATGGAAGATTTTTCAGAGAAGTAAAGTTTCATTTCGATGATATCATTTAGTAGTGCTGTTTAAATGTATTTATCGTCAAAATTTTACATGGAATTATTGAGTCATCAACAGAAGTACTAAAAGTCAATCAGAATTTAATGTTTCGTAATAGTCCAGAGGTAATAAAAATGGGATAAAATATAGGAACCAAATGTTAAAGTTTGTTCATTTAACGATTATAAAGAAAGATGAAAATATGAACGAACACGTCAAAAAAATTCACATAATGGTATGAAGAACTGTAATATAAAAAATAATTGACCACTTGAAGAATAATGAACAGTGAAGAAGAGAGGTTTTGGGGATGTAAGGTCCCTATAAATCACTTGATAAACCTCTTATTTTTGTAATTTTATTTTGAAAATCTTTATCATTTTCGCGGCAAAAGCGCCTACATTTACCTTCAGATTATATTTCCTACTTGGAAGGATCCTAAATATCATTGGTTTGTTTCCTCTTTTAATATGCTATTTTTTGACGTTTCCGAAGGCCACTTTTATACCGTATATGTACGCTTGAGTTATGACCCGTTTTTTGTGCTTCCAACTGCTTGTGAAATATAGTTTTCCCTCTGCTGAATCTGGTCTTCTCTCTCTAGTTAGCAGGGCTGAGGCACAGTGAATCGTTTAGCTTGTTCTGTTGTCGTGTTGCTGACTTCCATTTCGTTCATCGGTTAAGTTGAATCATAATCACTTCAAACGTAGCAAGAGGATAAGTTAGTTTGACGGAAATACAGTCGTCGAGACCTTGAGAAACAGACTATCCAGATCGTTGTCGAAGACCTTTTATTCAGCTGAACTACAAACTGTATTTTACAGTAGATGACTGATACAAGGATGTGTCAACAATGTACAGCCGATTCGGCCTACGTCATTGTGTATCTACCAGTTTACGTACTATGGCAATCGCACGAAGGATTCTCTTTCCAAACACATATCCAAGATCTATCCAGCATCATTATCAAAATGTAAATGCAAAATCACTGTTAGCTCAATTGTTGAACATCTGGACATTTTCGGTCACATATCCATACAAGAATATTTATTTACATTTCTTCACGATATTAGAAGAACTGATTCAAAGGAATGGTAGATAAAAAACTTATGCATAATGAAGACTTTGGGGATTCATCATTTCAAACCCGATCTTTGCATTCAGAAGCAATGTATTCAATCCCTTAGTTTATCATAATTCTAACACCTATTCACATTTTGTCAGTTATTTCTTTACATGTGTTTATTTTATTTTCCTCTTCATCTTCCCATTGTCAATTACTTCTCACATCTCAGTTCTTTATACCATTTTGTGAATTGTTTTGATATGTGTTCACTCATATTTTCGTCTTTCTTTATAATCGTTAAGTGGATTATCTTTCACATCTCATCTCTATTTATTTCTGTTACTGACTTAATAATTCTCTGTTTTTATTATAGAAATTTAACGGTAAATACAATTGTATAGCACTACTAAATGATATCGTCGAAAAGAAAATTCTCTTCTCTGAACTGTCTTTTTTATAGTTATTCTACAAATCTTTGGACAAAAGTCTATTATTATTATTAGCTAGAGAGAACACTAGAGCTTGTTCAGTATTTTAACTCTATCATGGATTGAGTTTGGCTAAACAACCGTTGAAAACCAGATTGCACTGGATAACTATTTCATCTTAATGTGAAACTTCTCAACGTCAATCCATATTCGCGACCATATCAAGGAGCAAAGTTAAAAAATAAATTTCACAAAAACACTACTAAACCACTATACTCCGAATCTTAATAACAATTAGATGTATAAGTGATTAATTAATATTGCATACTTCCACCTACGTATTTATCAATTACTCGACAGAATTTACTTTGTACTTAGTATGTACTCATCGTTTTCACACAACTATAAACACGTACACTTTATTTTCTGCCTTATTATTATTAATACTGAACTAACGTCGATAGTACTACTACAAAATTATCATTAATATTATAATACTACACTTAACATAAAAGTCATTTTATATATTTAATCTTATAATTGATTAACATATTTTTCTAAATATTCGTCTTTCCTGACTAATTTCTAAGTGTAGATGTGATATGACAGAGAGTGAGAGAGGGAGAGAGAGAGTTAAGTGCATACTTACACGATACATTTACTACAAGATGATTGTATTGTTAAATGCATATAGATGTATATTTCCATAACCACTAAAGCACAGTTAATTATATATACACGTGATAAATACGCAATAAAATTGTGCAATATTACAGTTGATCAATAGTCATTATTATAAGAATAATTATTGATAATGTCGAAGTTTATTTAGTTGGTAAGATGCATTGATTTATGCACACTCATTTCAGGTGTTCTTCTATTGATCTGTTTTTGTGTCAAGGTTATTTATAGATAACTAAACTACATTGAGTTTATGTCATTGTATGGATAAATAAAGTTTAAGTTTATGAGACAATATAATGTTCTTGACCTAGTGTTTTAGCATTGTATTTCGATAAAAAAAAGAATGAAAACTATGCTAAATACTGTTAATTAATATTCTAAATTAATTCATTTAAATATTAGTCCGTCGAATAATTCAATTTATTTGTTGTTAAAAATTTGATACTGACTCAGTGACTTGAAGGGTTAAATGTTTGGCACGAGATTTGGAGGTCGTGAATTAGATCTCTGGCAGAGTCTTGGATGCTCAGTTCTAAGAATTCCACATGCTAGGTAGGAACATCTGTTATCTGGTTTCAGATTTTCGATCAATGTCTAATGCTTAGTATATGGATGTGAAGCGTTGCCTTTAAAAATAAATAATATTTGTAGGTTACTAGCATTTGATTTTAATTGTCTACAAAACATTACTCGAGTATGTTGAAACTATTACTTGGGCAATTCTGATTTTAGATTCAGTTGATGAGGTAATTAATTTTCATTGACTGAAATGGCTGGGATTCAACTACCTCCTTCCTACCTTGACAATTGATGTATGGTGGTATAGAAGTAGGTTAGTCGAAAACTAAGGATAGTCAAACCAAGACATACATCAGTTCATAAAGTCATTGACACTGACTGTTGAACTAAATCACACTAATAAGTGCAGACAACTTGGTTAGAGTACTCATTGTTTCTGTAACCAATAATTGAAGACATTTTGGGGCAT